TAAAGTTGGAATGTGTAAACAACAACGAAATTGAGATAAATTATATAACCAGTGCTAACGAGGCCTTTCGTCCAATACCAGGACTCATCAATCCGGCTGGAATACGACGAACACGGTAGTAGTTGAGACGATATCTATATATGTATACTAGCGTTTATTTGCTGAATTTTACGCAAAGCTGCTCGTTCGTAATTTTGAAATAACAGCGCCAACTCTTTACCAACGAATAGTGGGATTGACCGTCACGTCATAACACCTCACGGCTGTAAGGGCGAGTAGGTTCGGTGACTGGATTCGAACCTACTACTCACAGATTGCGAGTCGAGTGTCCTAACCAACTTATATATATGTATTGATTTATTCATTAATGTTAATTAATTAATTGATTGATTTAAAATTTGCGTCTTTAAATTCAAAGTCAGAAGTCTATAAAACAAAAGTGGAAATGTGCCCTACGTCAAGATGTTTTTTTATACATTCTTCTTAGACAAACACACACACACACACACACGTGATGAATTATATGTATGTTAGATTATCAAATTGCGTAAACAACTGTTGTGAATTAGATTAAGTTGGTGAAGCGTAATATCTATCAATTTTATAGGAGTCATTTACAGATCAGAATTATGGTAAAAATGTATAACGCAATATTATTTATTTTTTGTTGAATTAACTTCACTCGTCATGTAGAAGAAATCAGCAATCTCGTCTTACTAGTCAGGACTAAAACAGGTAAAATATGAACATTAAAATATGGTTTTGGACTGTAGAACCGTTAACTAAAAAAACGGGATAAAAATAATTAATTGATTTAGAAACTTAGAGTTTCACCAAAAATTTACAAGGCTTCATCGGGTAACAGTTGTTGGTATAGTTCTAAATATATCTATTATGTTACTATCATGCTTCAGAATACATAACTTTTTTAAGCCAAAATAGTCCTATCCATTAACAAACAGTCACTTGATAAATAGTAAGAAAAATTAAATATAAAGTCACCCATTAGTTCTAAACATGGGCGTCCGCAGAAGGAACAGTTGTTGGTATAGTTCTAAATCTATGTATTATGTTACTATCATGCTTCAGAATACATAATTTTTTTAAGCCAAAATAGTCCTATCCATTAACAAACAGTCACTTGATAAATAGTAAGAAAAATTAAATATAAAGTCACCCATTAGTTCTAAACATGGGCGTCCGCAGAAGGAACCACTTTGTGTCCACTGATATCGTCTAGCTATTTATTTCATAACTGCTTTCGAAGTTTTAAAAAAAAACAACACAAAAACCGGATATTTTTGTTTAGTGTTGCTATACTTAAAAAGACAGCAATTCCGTATAATTTATGTTGAGTTGAACCGTTAACCACAAGTTCGAGTTCTGATATCTCGTTTGTTACGTGCATGACTTGCAAATAAATGTGGTAATAATGTACTAATATTCTAAGCTGGATTATATGTTCCACCCAGCATTAGTGACCAATGTTATACAAGGTTACACACATTATAATGAATACAACTCAATTTTTTACTATTTCATTTTCTCGTGTCACACGATGTTACGCGGGAAATGGAACGTTTCTTACTCAGCACTTGTTTAAAATGCAACGAGCATGGTACAAATTGGGCGACATATTAGATCAGATTACGTTTGTTTTAGAATTTTACACAAAGGTAACTTGGAGCTATCTGCGCATAGCCGTCCTTAATTTTGTATTAATGGAGTTATTGAAAGGCACCCGGTCAACAGCACCACCGAGAACTCTTGCACTATACTTTTTTGATCGACTGTTTGTTATGGATTTCGCGCAAAGCTACACGAGGGCTATCTGCGTTAGCCGTCCTTAATTTAACAGTATAAGACTAGAGGGAAGGCAGCTAGTCATCATCACCCACCGCCAACTCTTGGGCTACCTTTTCCACCAACGAATAGTGGGATTGACCGCCACATTATAACGCCCCCACGGCTGAAAGGGCGAGCATGTTTGGCGTAACGAGGATTTAACCCGCAGATTGCGAGTCGAGCACCCTAACCACCTGGCCATGCCGGACCCTTTTTGATCGAATAGTGGGAAAATTGCCTTCATACTTATAACGCATCCAGGCCTCAAAGTGAAGATAGTATTTTTGTACCAACAGGCCAAAAACCATAAATCCTCGAATTTTCAGTCTGAGTATGCTATTAGGCCACGCCCAACCACCAGTTTATGCATCTTTCACTAAAGTTGAATATAACTGTTTTTTGTATTAATATCATATGTTCAAAGTTATTTAACAACTTATTATATAGCTTTACATACCTACTGCAATTGGCAGTTAAAGGAACTAACAAGCTGAAGGGTTTTAAAATAGTATCGTGTACAGAAACTTTTAAACGTCCTAGTTTTAAAAAACAACAACATTTTTTTGTGTGTGTGCCTAAGTTAGTCTGATTATATTCTTAAAGTTGGTGACTGAAAATATAATTCACACATTAATCAATACGTTAAAAATTCTAACAGTAGAGACGAATTAGTTTCAATTGTTAGACCAACTTCTCTTTATGCTACTACATTTTTCACAGGCAACGAAAGAAATAACTCAAAAGTTCTTCACGACTGATTCTTGGTGTTTTTTTTCTGCTACCTTTTAGCTTTATCACTCAAAAGCGAACTCAAATCATAAAAGGTGAGACACTTAATCGGCACGAGAGACAATAATTTAATCAGTTAAGCTAAATCTTATATCCACGGGTATGGGCTGACGAGAAACAACAGTTTGTGAGCGCCCCAGGTTGTCTCTCAAGCCCCTTCTAAATTACTGCCAAGTCCTAACCTCCTAACTAACTTAGGCGTAAAATAAAATATTAAAAGCCAACAGATTTTAAGCGGTTTGTGCCTGGACGAAAAAATATAAAATACTTTTGTTAAATATCAATGAATAAAAACCCTATAACCCGAGTGCTTTCGAAAAGTGGATCTTCTTGTTAAATATCATGTAGCGCAGCGTTTCTCAAAGTGTGTGGTGTGTCTCCCAGGAAGCGCGAGTGATTAGGGTAGAGCCAATAGTGCAATAATGCAAAATTAAGGGGTTTTAATATATATTTTTTCTTAACGAACATAAGTAATTACTATAACAAATGTAGCATTTTAATGTGCCTGTATATGATACAAGTTTGGGAAACGCCGATATAGCTTATGTCTATTTAAATAGCTTAAGACTACAAGGACACCAGTTCATATTTGAAAAGGCGTTTCTGTTTGTTTGTTTTGAATTTCGCGCAAAGCTACACGAGGGCTATCTGCGTTAGCCGTCCCTAATTTAGCACTGTAAGACTAGAGGGAAGGCAACTAGTCATCACCAACCACTGCCAAATCTCGGGTTACTCTTTTACCAGCGAATAGTGGGATTGACTGTCACATTATAACGCCCCCATGGCTGAAAGGGCGAGCATGTTTGGTGTGACGGAGATTCAAACCCGCGACCCTCATATTGTAAGTCAAGCACCATAACCACCTGGCCATGCCGGGCCAAAGGCATTTCTAAAACCTGGATTATCAATTCCAACTAACTTCCTGTTCCTACGTATACATGCTTGTTACATATCTGTGAAATATACTGTAGCATCACTTAATACTCATGTTTTCACCTAAGCAGTTTATATGACCCACTATCTGTTACAACTGTCACATTGTCCTAAGCAGTTTATGTGACCCACTATCTGTTACAACTGTGTCGCATTGTCCTAAGCAGTTTATATGACCCACTATCTGTTACAACTGTCGCATTGTCCTAAGCAGTTTATATGACCCACTATCTGTTACAACTGTCGCATTGTCCTAAGCAGTTTATGTGACCCACTGTCTGTTACAACTGTGTCGCATTGTCCCAAGCAGTTTATGTGACCTACTATCTGTTACAACTGTGTCACACTGTCCTTAGCAGTTTATATGACCCACTATCTGTTACAACTGTCGCATTGTCCTTAGCAGTTTATATCACCCACTATCTGTTACAACTGTCGCATTGTCCTAAGCAGTTTATATGACCCATTATCTGTTACAACTGTGTCGCATTGTCCCAAGCAGTTTATATGACTCACTATCTGTTACAACTGTGTCGCATTGTCCCAAGCAGTTTATATGACCCATTATCTGTTACAACTGTGTCGCATTGTCCTTAGCAGTTTATGTGACCCACTATCTGTTACAACTGTGTTGCACTGTCCTTAGCAGTTTATGTGACCCACTATCTGTTACAACTGTGTCGCATTGTCCCATGCAGTTTATGTGACCCACTGTCTGTTACAACTGTGTCGCATTGTCCCAAGCAGATTATGTGGCCTACTATCTGTTACAACTGTGTCACACTGTCCTTAGCAGTTTATGTGACCCACTATCTGTTACAACTGTGT